AGCAGAGGAGGAGCCGTTCCTTTTCCACGCCGTGGGATGCTGATGGACGAGGACCGGCTCACGCACGGACCTGCCGCGACACAGCATCAGCTTGGGCCGACTGCAGCTGCATGATGTTATTTATAAAGACACTTTTCTATGGGTAACTGGAACTAACAGAACCTCCTCCACGTGTGGCTGGAGTACATCCCCCCCCACGAAGGGGTCCACGTGCTCCAGGCAGAGACTCTCCGTGGCTTGTATCCTAACCCTGGCTTTGCTGTAAAATAAACCACAAACACACGCTAAGTAGAAGGACTTAAAGATGTACATTTTTACCTGCTGCATCGAGAAACCTTTTGCCCTTAGGAACAAGGTGACTGGGAATGCACTGGAGCTGATTTTCATCCTTGTCGTGGGAATGGACATTTTTCTGAAGGAGAGCAGGGAAACGGTCAGTTCGCTGTCAGGACGCCTCATTTGCTGCCACCACCACGTGCAACCTGTGCAGATCATGCTCAGTAATTAGCATTGGGATTTTCATCTTTACATTCAGCACCAGAGGGTTTGAGTTGAGGAATATTCACACAGACACTTCCTGTGCCATTTTTTTAATCCTTCCAAATGTCCCCTGATCTTTGCTAACAACCATCTCCACAGGGAACCTCCCACCCACCTTTCCACACTTTTCATTGGCACAGATGGGCTTTCATTTTCCTTACACAGCTTCTCTTTTGTTGGCTGAATCCAGCAGATCTGTTGGGCCTGTAAACTGCTGCACCTCCCTTTCCTGCCCCGGGACTCTGCAGGTCTGCACAGACCAGCCCTGGTTTTCATTTCCTTTCCCAAAGCTGAGCCACAGCAGCTCCTCTCTCCCAATCCTTCCAAACCATCTCCTCACGGTTCACTTGTCAGCATGCCACCGATGACACCCCTTAATTCAATGTGCATTACCATGTAGTGCAACGTTATCCTTTGGTGATTCCACCTGAGATGTCATTAAATGGAGCTGAAACTGGGTTTTCTTTTTCAGCAGCTGTTTGTGAACTTCTTATCACGGGGCTGACCCCATGGTAAAGTTTTGGACTGAGCCACCATGGTACTTTTTTTTTTTTTAATTATTATTATTATTTATAATCTTTATTGACCTAGAGAGTAAAGTACTTGCCGTTAGTTCCTTGTAGATTTTGAGCATGAAGTAGTATTGACTCTAAGTATGTAATTTTATTAGGCAAACGTGGAAGTAGCAAGTTGATGCCTCTTAAATATAAAGAAATATCCTGTTGCACATTCACCAGCCTGGTGGACGCAGAAGAGAACGGAACCAGCCCCATCAATTTGCTCCCTTGGGTGACCTGCTGGGCTTGGGACTGGAGAGAGGAGCCCTCCAGCTGGGAGAGAGTGGTTGGATCCCGGCTCCTGGATCTCAGTCACCCTGGGATCACCTGGAACACCGTGGTGGAGCCTGCCCTGTGTCCACAGACAGGCTCAGCCTGGGATTGAACCTCTGGCAGGGCACCCCTGGGAGGCCTGTCCTTGAGAATCCTGCCCCTGGGAACCCTGTCCTTGGGAATCCTGCCCCTGGGAACCCTGTCCTTGGGAATCCTGCCCCTGGGAACCCTGTCCTTGAGAATCCTGCCCCTGGGAGCCCTGTCCTTGGGAATCCTGTCCCTGAGAGCCCTGTCCTTGGGAATCCTGCCCCTGGGAGCCCTGTCCTTGGGAATCCTGTCCCTGAGAGC